GAGCTGCTGCAGGGGAGGGGGGCCGGCCCCATGTCCCACAGCTGGGAGGGAAGCCCCAAAGGCTGGCGGGCCCCAGTTGTGCTGGGCCAAGATGCCCAGGGCTTCCCGGGGCTGTCCGGCCAGAGGGAGCTTCTCTGGGCATCTCCAGTCAGGCTCTCGCTTCCCAGAAAACAACGGAAGCTCTTCCTGGCCTGCGAAGCCAAAAACCGGGTTCCATCCTCCCCTGCCAGCCGCCTTCGCCATGTTTTGGTGCTCGGGCAGGGAAGAGACAGGGTCTTTGTTTTCACAGGCCCAGCCGTGGAGGATCCGGCCCACTCGCAGGAGTCCCAGGAAAGTAAGTCCTCCCTGGATTGGGAATCACAGCGACCGGAGCACTTGGAGAGGAAGGGCAGCGTCCTTCTTCTTACGCTCTGGCACCGGTCCTGGGTCCAGGCTCTCAAGGGAGGGGAGGGTCCACCAGGCTGTGGGTTAGGGCTGGCCGGAGGGGGGAGGGGTGGTTAGTGGGTATAGAGCCAGGGGTCCTGTGTTTGCATCGTGCTCTGCTGTTCCCTTGCTAGGCTTGGACCATGAAGGCGATTCGGAAGAGTCCCTGACATCCCCAGATAAGTGTCCCTGGCTCGGTCCGCCTCTTGCCCCCCCCTTGAAAGAACAGACTGCGAATCGGGTTGACCAAACCCTTCCAGGGTAGCCACCTTCCCACCAGGTGGGGGAAAAGAGGCTTTGGGTTCGCCAGGTGTGTGTGAAGGCCAGGCCGGGCCTTGCATCGCATCCCTTCGGTTGTCTCTGCGGCTGCTGAGGGACTTTCCGCCAGGGGCCTCCGGCACCCAGGGACGCCCGAGTCGGTGGCCCAGCATTCATGCCTTCGCTTTGGAGGCAGAGCACGGGGTCCCGGCTTCCACTGGCAGGAAAGGTCTCCAGGGCTTGGATTGGCAGAGCTCCAGTTGGGGAGGGGGCTCTTGGGGGGCAAACGCCAGCTGTCCTGAGCCCTCCAGGAGGGGGATCCCTCGGAGCCCCTTCTCTTGAGAGGACTGCCCAGCGGTGCAGGGCAAGGTAACGAGGGTCTTTTCTCCTCCACAGGCATGTGAGGAGGGCTGCTGCCACCTCTCCCCGCCCTTCTTGAGGATCCTGAGATGCCCCAGCTGACCGCGAGGACCTGCCTGCTCGTGCACTGTCTAACCCATCACTCGGCCCTTCCCGGGTTCCTGCCCCAGCTAGGCACAGAATAGGGATGTGTTTGTGTGTGAGTCTGTGTGTCTGTGTGCATACAAAGTGGGAGAGAAGACAACAGCACCAGCCTGTTCCTCTGACGAGGTGGCATTATCCTGTCTTCTAAAACAGGGGTCCCCAACCGTGGCCACTTTTATGACTGGTGGACTTTGACTCCCAGAATCCCTGAGCCAGCATGAACTTCTGAGCATGGCCGGCTCAGGAATTCTGGGAGTTGAAGTCCACAAATCATAAAAGGGGCATCATCCCCACCCCCGCTCTAAAGCATAAACATCTATGTGCCCCAGTCCCTTCCCCGTCGGCGCTTGGGGGCAGCGGCACCACAATGGGCCTTTGGGAGGAAATAAGTGACCACCAGCCGAGTCCCCGGACAGCAACTAATCCACTGTCCTCACTCGATTTCTCTGCTGCCCACCACGTCCCTGGCTGGACCACCTGAGGGTGGGACAGAAGGAAACGAGCTAGGAAGGCCACTGCTTTTTGGGCCAGGAAATGGGGGGGCCAGGCCTGCAGACAGTAGGGGGAGGCAAGGCAATCTGGCACAGAGCCTTAATGGCTCAACTTCCAGGATGGAGACAAGACACCCCCCCAGGGCTACAGAGGGGTCTCCCCCCCATTGACAAGTGACCCCCTTAGGATTCTACGGAATGGATGCCAAGCAGAATTCGCTTTATTGCCTCCCCCGTGTCCGTCTAGAGCCATCCAGGCTGGGAAACCTGCAGTTCAGTGGCAATCTTTGGGGATTTGTATTTGAATTATGTGGGGTTTGTGGATTATAGAAGCTGACTTGGTTGTGTGTGTGTGTGTGTGCATGTGCTCTAGGTCTTCCCTTGACCCCTGTAGAGGTGGTGGTGGGCTCTACCTTTGCTCTTGTTGGCTGCTCGTTCAGCCCCTCCCTTCTGTAAGACGCGCAGCCTTTGTAACCAATAAAGACGTACAAACCGCTGTCGGTCTCACTGTTGCCCCCCACTCCCTAGCCAGGAAGGTGCTATCCTGTGCCCCCCCCCATGGGCACCCACTCCACAGCCTGGCAAGGCCCACCTAACAGCCCTTGGGAGGGGGATAGGGCCACATCCTGATCCGAGCATTTGCCCTCAGATCCCCAGCACGTGGAACTCATGGCCATACTGTGGCCTGTGATGCAGGGGAGTGGGCTTCTGTGGCAGACAAGGGGGCCCTCCAAGTTCTGCCGTCCTCTTGCATCACACACTGCCCAGGTTTGCCCACTGAGGTGGTGGCCACAAACCCTGCCCCGCGAGTTAAAAAAGGGCCGTGAATCTTGGCCAGGCCAGGCCCCTCCAACTGCAAGGGGGGAGGGGGTTTGAGTGGGGGGGCTCCTCATCCCAAGAGGTCCCATGATGGGCCTCCAGGTGAGGCTCACCTCCACTCACCTCGAGGAAATTCCTGCATGTCTCTTCCTTTTCTGGCTTGTCGTCGCTTGCCAGGATTCATGAGTGACCCACCCTAATGTGGCAAGGCTGAAAATGCCACACTCACCCTTCACCAACATCCCTTCCCAAGCGCTGTGGCTCCCTTGGGCAGGCCGGACCCCCCCGCTTCCCCCTCCAGATCGGCCCTGAAGGTGCCCGGGGCCCTCCCCCTGCTCCCACGGGCCCAGCTCCCCCGGGGGGCCTGAGGGACTAAGACGGCCCAGGTCTTCATGGAATGGGAGCCGTGGGCCGACCCAGGGCTGAAGGCAGGCTGGGCTCCTTTGCTGAAGGGGCCACCGAGGGGCTCCAGGGCTGCCTGAAGGGGGATCACAAGGGAGCCCCCCCTTGCCGCAGTGTCTCGGCCCAGCACCCTGCTTTCTGGCAGCTGCGATGGGCTGCAGGGGCCGAAGGGCAGAGCCCAGCCAGGCAAGGCCGGGCCTCCTCCGGAGCAAGGGCGGGCTGGCCGGCTGCCTGCAGTCTCAGGATGGCGCTGGGCGTCCCGGGTTAGGCAGACCCGAGGACGGGAAAGGCGGCTGGGAACCTGGAACCGGCGGAGGCTCCCTTCGGACAGGCTGCCCAGGGATGCGCCCGCCTGCCGCCCTTCCTGCTGGGGGGGGCACCTGCCAGCCTGGCCCATGGAAGAGGCAACGAAGCGCCCCACAGCCAGAGGCTGCAGGTGGGCAGTTAGTCTGGGAAAGCTGGGATTGCACCGAGAGGGGAGGAGCCTGGCTCCCACTTCCGTGACCCTGAGTGCCGGAGGGGGGGGCGCCCCTTTGCCCCAGAATCCTTGAGGGGGGGGCAGCAGAGGATTCTGCAAGAACTTCTCAGAGACGCAGTGGGGCAAGTTAGACGCCCCAGGCTTGAGGGAAGAGGGCGGTGGGCTCGGGATGCAGACCCCAAAAGAGTAAACCAAGGACACCGGGGGAGGGGGGAGGTTATTCCCAAGGAGGCTGTTGGATTGGGACCGGGCCCCCCCTGCTGGGCCGGCCTTCTCAGAGGCTCCCCCAAAGAGCCAGCCGTTCCCAAACCCCCCCAAGAACTCCAGGAGAAGGGCGTCCGAGGCGACAAAGCGGATACCGGGAGGGGCCGTTCCGTAGAGATATAGATATATTTGAGCACGTATATATAGATATTTATATTGTGAGAGAAGAGAGAGGGAGGGGCAGGGAGCGTCTTCTCTTATGTAAAAATTCAAAATACAATTTTTCTAGTAACAATCAAAATGTAAATGTACAAACCCTTCACTGCTAAGCCAAGGGAAATAAAATAAAACCCCACGGGGGGAAAGTGGCGGGTGGGGAACCTTCTCGCGGGGGTCCCCAGGAGGCAGGGCTGCAGCCGTACCCCAGAGGTCCCCCCCCTTCCAGCCTTCGGCCGCTGCTTGGAGGAGCCACGGAGTCTCTCGGACAGGCCAGGAGGGTGGGACCGCCATGCAGGCGAGGAGGCCTGGCGAGCAGCGGAGGCGAACGTCCCGTGGCCCCCACGGCCCCAGCCACGCCCCTCCGAGCCCGGTGCTGCCCCGGGCCGCTCTCTCCAAAGCCGGCCCCACAACAGCCCCCGTGGGAAGTGTGCGCACAACGGCCCTCTTGTCCCGAAGGAGCTGGCCCCCGCCGGGCAGGGCAGAGGGAGGCCGCGGCAGGCCTTCCCAGCTGAGCTCGGCCTTAGGAGACCGCGGGGTCCTGGGGCTTGGGGTGCTCCGTCCCAGAGAGCAGAGAGAGGCTGGGGTCCTCCAAGCCATCCTCTCCCTCGGGGAAGCCGGGTCCTTCCCCCAGCTCGAAGAAGATGGGCACGTCCGCGCTGCCCACGTCCACCGTGTTGGAGTCCACCAGGAAGAGGGGCTGGGCCGTGTAATGCACCAACTGTTTGCCTGGCAAGGCAGAGAAAGGGGAGGGGGGGGGACTCGGATCAGAGGGGAAGGCAGCCTCCAGTGGCCCCAGGAGCCCTCGTGGCGGGGCTGGACAGCCAGGGGAACCTCTCCAGCCGTGGACCCCAACGCAGCCACGCTGGCTCAGGAATTCTGGGAGCTGAAGTCCATGGCTGGCAAAGGGGCAGTAAAGGCTGCCCAGAGGGTCCTCCACAGGGCAGGGGGCGACGGGCACATACAGACCTTTCCGCCTGCCCGCCCTGGGGCCGCCCGGGGTCTTCCCAGTGAGCCCCCTGCCCCAGCTGGCCCCTCCGTGCCGGGCTACGCTCAGGACCAGCATTCAGAGCCCGGTGCCCACCTGCGTCTGCCGTGGCGTCTTCCCCCTCGGCTGGCTTCTGCGGCTCCTGCGAGGAGAGGAGCTCCTGGATCTGCAAAAGGGCCCCGCAGGGGTGAGAGGCCAGGGTGTGTTTGTGGAGGGGGGGCAGCCTGAGGGCAGACCCCTCCCTCACAGGTTCCCCCAGGCAAGAGACCACCTGCCCGCCCTGATCTGGGGAAACACAGCCCCCTCCCCCACATCCTTTCCTTCCTCCCTCCTGCTTAGAGCAGGACCCCCTTTGGCCATGGGTCACTTCCTGGTGGTGGGGGAGCGATGAGCGTGCTCCCAGGGACCCCCACGGAGAGGGAAGCCTCTGGCGACTGGCCTATAAGCAACAGTCACATCTATCCGGTCAGCGGCTGGAAAGGCCAGAGGTCAGTCTTCTCCGAAGGGAAAGAAGCCCCCCCCCTGTGAGCGAGGGAGGACAGAGGGGGCTGGGCTGGCAGGGGCTGATCAGGGCCTGCTGGGAGGGGAGAGGGGGGTCTCTGCAAAGGCAGACTCACGCTGGCCAAGCTGCTGTCCAGATCCGGCAGGTTCATGTCCGTCACCCCCATGGAAGGGCTGAAGAGCTGTCGGGAGAGGAAGGGGAGGGGAGCCAGGGTTAGGGAGGAGGGTCCCCTCACCCCAAAGCCCACCCCCTGCCCAGGGCTCCCAGGGGAGGCCTTACGTCCAGCAGGGCGCTGGTGTCCACGCTGAAGCTGTGGGTGGTCAGCATGGTCTGCAGGTGGTCCAGGCTGGAATCGATGGTCTCCAGGTGCTCGCTCAGCTCGTTCCTGGGGAGGCAAAAGGGCACCTGGTGGGGTGGGGGGAGGGGAGGGCAGAGCATGCCACGGCCCCTCTGGGCACTCCTGCCAACGCCACCTGCCTGTCATTCCTGCTCCGGGATCTTTTGGGTGGGGGGTGGGGGAGGATGAAAGCACTGAGAAGGCCACGGCCTGGGCTCACCCCCTCCCTCCAAAGGGACCCCTCCCCACCTGCCACCAGTTGCCCCTTGTGTTGTTTGTGCCTGTGCCACCCAAGGGCATGTTCCACGAGGGCTGCCTGGGGGTCCCTGGATCCACGTGCAAGAGGGCACTCAGCAGAACCGCTCTGCAGTTGTAGGCCCTCCCGGGAACCAGCAGAGACCCAGGGAGGTAAAGGGGAGGGGTCTGGGAGGAGGGGTCTACAGACTATGCCCGGGGCAGGGGGGGGAGCCTGGACCAGGCCCCCCCAGGGTGTGAAGAGGCCAGCTGGACCCGTAACAGCTGCTTGAGCTGCCCAGAGTCCCCTTCTCGGCTAGTTGGCTTCAGCGAGACCACCAAGCAGGGGGGCCTGGACACTCCCTGCCGTTCACCTCTCCGTCTCTGCCAACGGAAACAGCCCCCTCCGGAGAGCCACCGGGAGAGCTCCAGGCTTGGAAGATGTAAGACCCCCTGCCTTGGGTTCAAGTCTGCCCACGCCAGCCAGTTTGCAAGTCCCCAAGCCCCAGGAATGGCTGCCCTGCAGGCCAGCCCAACTCTGCTCCTAGCAGCAGCCGGACCCCCACTCAGTCCTCCAGGTGGGGGGTGGAAGGGGGCTGGGCAGATGCCCTGGCTGCAAATTCAGGGGCTGCTCTGTCCTTAGTGGGGTGAACAAGGCTGAGTCTCTGGCGCTGGAAGGGCGAAGCAGCCACCCTCCTGCGGTCCCCTTCCCTCTGCTTCCCCCTCCCCACGTCTCCCTGCCCCCCTGTCTCCTGAGGGGGGGGCCGGCCGTGCCTGAGGAAATGCTAACCCTTGCTGCGGTCTGCAGTGCAGGGAGGAAGAGGAAGGGCTGGGGAAAAGGCAGGTGACCTCAGACATCTGCGGAGCACGACCCACGCTGAAAGATACAAGAAGAAGAAGCGTCCATGGAGAAGGCCCACAGGCCTGTCACCCGAGGGAGGGGGGCGCTTGACCGGCCAGAGACCGGCTGCTCGAGGGGCAGCCCCCACGGAGGGGGAGGCGGAGCAGAGACAACGGGCCAGTGGGGAGGACAACAGAGAGCTGCCCCCCCCCAGAGCAAGGGCAGGGCGCCTCGCAATTCGCCTTGCCAGCTCTGAGCAGCCCGTCGCTCAGACAGGAGAATGGGACGAGCAGGACCCAAAGGTGCCCAGCTCTGCCCCTTGCAGGGCCCGAGCGATGGTCTCCCCAACGGGCAAGGCCCAGCCCCCCTGCGCCACGGGGCTCCTCTTCCTGCCAGGGAAGAAAGGGGGCTTCCTGCGAAGGAGGCCACCCCAGACGGACTCTGCTCTGGACGTGTGTGTGCGCGTGTGTGTCTGGGGGGCTTGCCTCTACTTCCTGGGCCTTTAGGGGGCTTTGAACCGCACAGCCTGGAGAGGGCTCAGAAGTGACCCCCTTTGGGCCATCTTGCCCAGGCCCCCTCCTCCAGCCAGAGAGACCGGGAGGCCAGGCAACACTGGGGCCCCTCGGCACATCTGCTCCCCCTGGCTCTGGAGCTGCTCCCGTTCGGAAGACACCACAGCCCCCTACCCCCGATCCAGGCTCTGGCAGGCCTCCCCCTCCCCAGTGCAGAAGGGCCTTTGGGGCAGAGAGGAGAACCTCGGTCCTTCCTGGCCTTCCTGTGTCCACCCCATAAGGCCCCACCAGGTCAGGGCTCTCCAAACGTGGCAACGTCCAGACTCGTGGACTTCAACCCCCAGAATTCCCCAGCCACCTCTAGGTTTGCTGTAACCCAGGGTAGGGTGTCCAACCTTGCAACTTTAAGACTCGTGGACTTCAACCCCCAGAATTCCTCAGCCACCACAGCAGACGCTACAGACCCTGGGACGGGACCACACGGCCGAGGAAGGAAGCCTAGCTGGCTGGGGAATTCTGGGAGCTGAAGTCCACAAGTCTTAAAGTGGGCGCCCTGCTGTAGCCCCTTCGCCAAATCATCCTGTCCCGGGTCCAGCCAGCCTGAGGGGGTTTCGAGGCTGGTCAGCGGCTGAGAGGGGGGTAGCCCACCCCCTTGGGGCCTGTTCCCAGATGCAGCGTCGACCCCCAGTTCTCCCTAGGAAGACTCTCTCCAACTGCTGCCCCACAAGTGGCCCCCTAGACGTGCAGAGCAGCCGGGCGCCCTGCATGCTGAGCCTGGGGGGGAATGAGTGGCGGGCTGTGCCCGGATGGCCTGACTGCCAAGCGAGGCCCAGGAGCCCCCGGGGCCTCCGGACCAGAGACGGGCACGGCAGGATCCGGGTGGGGAAGGCGGCCGAGCGTGAGGGAGGGTCTGCCTCCGGCTACGTGGCAGGGGAGGAAAACTCCCCCAGCACCAGGGGAAGCTCTGCCCCTCAGAAAAGGGCCAGGCCTCTCCTGGCACGGGCCGTCCTCGCCTTATGACCGCAACGGAGCCCGACATTTCCGAGACGTTTGTTAAGCGGGTTTTGCCCCATTTTACAACCGCTCTTGCCTCAGTCATCCAGCGAATCACTACAGCTGACTAGTAACCCAGTTGTTAAGTGAGTCCGCCTCCCCCACTGACCCAGGAGATTGCGACCGTCATAAAGATGAGTCAGCTGCCAAGCGTCTGAATTCTGATCACGTGACCCTGGGGGATGCTGGGAAGGTCGTGTGTGAAAAACGGTCACAGGGCTCTGAATGGTCACTAAATGAGCCGTTGTGAGCCGAGAGCTCCCTGTGCAGACCAGCGGGTGGAAGGCCCCGCCTGGAGGGAAGGTAGCCACTGAGGTCAGGGCGGGGCGAGAGCGTGGCCACACCTGGGCCACCGCTTTGCTCCGGGCCTTTGCCTGCCAGCCCCACGTGGTCTGGCTGCACCAGCGGGTGCCCGCTTGGGGAGCTCAGCACCTGTTGGGCTGCAGCCCTAGCGGGCAAGATCTGGGTCTCTGTGGCCCCTGGGAGGGCCTACTGCCCCCCGAGGCCAGAGTGCTTTCCGGCCCTGGGATAATTCCCGTCCCCTTCTGCCCCTGGGGCAGGGGGCAGCCTTAGCGCCAGGGGCAGCCTTCTGCCCTCGGTGGGGAGGGCCACTGAGCGGGGGCAGAGGGCTCAGAAATGGCCCCGAAGGACAAACGCAGCCCCTCCCGCTAAGGGGAAGAGCGGGGGTTGAGCCCAGGCCGAGAAAAGAGCCCCCCCCTCGTTCACCGGAAGAAGGAGGCAGGAGAGGGGTGGGGGGAAGCACCTTCAGACCGACAAAATTCAGTCCCTGAAGCTGGGAGCCAAAAAGCCCTGGCTCCTGAGCCCAGGGGAGGGGTCTCCCAACCTGGCAACTTTAAGACTTAGCTAGCTGGGGAATTCCGGGGGTCTTAAAAGTTGCCAAGGCCGGACAGCCCTGGGCTACGGCAGGGGGGGGTGGGCCAGAGAGGGGAGGGGACCCTCTGCCCCGGGCGTGATGCCCCACACTCACTTGTCCAGGCAGGCCACGCTGAGGCACTTCTCCTGGGGCTGCGCTGGGCTGCCCTGGGTGGGGGGGGCCGTGGCCGAAGTGCTGCTGGGCTGCTCCTCC